ACGCCAGCCTGGGTGACAGAGTGAGACTCCATCTCAAAAAAAAAACCAAAAACCAAAAACAACAAAACAACAAAAAACAAACAAAAAAAGATTTGTAATAGTCCCTAAATGATAAAAATAAAAACTCCCTCCTAACTCTGAGGAGAGAAGGATCAAGATTCCTGTCCTGGCTCCACTGCATACTGGTGCAAGATTTAGGGCAAGACATGCCACATCTTCACGGTATGACTTCCTCTTCAGTAAAAAGCATAAATAATACAATATCTTTCTGGGACACTTGTGTTGAGAATTTCATGAGATAATATACAGAAAGTGTTTCAGAGAATGTCCAACACATACTTAGGTGTTTAAGAAATGGGAGCTATTATTATTGTTATGATTATTTTAATTGTATCTATTTTTATTCCTATTATTTTTATTTATATATATATTTTTTGAGATGAAGTCTTGGTCTGTCACCCAAGCTGGAGTGCAATGGCGCGAACTTGGCTCACTGCAACACCCACCTCGCAGATTTAAGCATTTCTCCTGCCTCAGCCTCCCAAGTAGCTGGGATTACAGGGAACTGCCACCATGACTGGCTAATTTTTTGTGTGTGTTTTTAATAGAGACGGGGTTTCACCATGTTGGTCAGGCTAGTCTCAAACTCCTGACTTGAAGTCATCCACCCACCTTGGCCTCCCAAAGTGCTGAGATTATAGCCACTGCCCCCGGCCTTATTACTATTATTACTCAATTATATGCCACTTGTTCAAAATTGAAAATTTCCCACAAGGTAGACTGTTTTCCAGCCCCCACCACTTACTCTTTTATTTGCTGGCAAGGTGTTTCTAGAATTATTTGACTTTCTATAAAAGTCTCCAAATATTTCAGGAGTAATTTTCAAGTACAAGAACTTCTCAAATGTAGGATGCCATTGCTGTCATTGTGTTGATTTTTGAGAAAATAAATAAATACCAAAACAATGCAAGGAATGGTCACCATATCCCGAGTTTCCAGATGTATGATCTTCTCTCAGTGAAAGGAATGAAATTCTTTGTTCATCTTTCAGACTTGGCTTATTAAAGTAATTTCCACCAAGTTGTTTCTGACAGTTAATAAGGAGCATTTTAATTCACAGAGGAAACAGAGGAAAGGGGAAGGAAGCAAATATCTGCCTTCTATAAATCAGACTCTTTAAGGCATTGATTTCATTAAATATTTAAAATCCAATGATGTTTGGATTAGCGTCTCCATGTTACACAGCAGGACAGTGTGACTTCAGGAGATGATAAAATTTCCTTCCTAATGTGACACAGCCAGAAAATGGCAGAGTGAAGCCACGCTGCTTGGGCCCACCCAAGAATTTAGTCTTCTCAGCCAAGAGCATTAAGAAAAATAACAAACAAAAGAGGTGGCATGATTCCATCCAGAAAAGATGGTAGCACCTGAAAATCCAGAATTTTCAGAGTGTGGTTCCATAGGCAGCTTAAAGGGAACACGATGGCCCACCCCCAGTATGGCTTGGTTCACTTTCCTTGTCTTCTCCACAGACCAGCAGAAGACCCCACCAGAGATAAAGCTCAGAATGTACAAATCCAAAATTTACCCAGCCCAGGAACATCCAGAGACCAATAACTTCCTTGTCTCCCAATCTGGCTGTCTCCTTTCCTTTGGTAACCACCTCAGTTGTTTTCGTTTCTCATTTCTTTTTCTTGCATGTAGCCCTTGGCTTGTTTCCATGACACCCAGCTTCTAAATAGAAGCGATGTGAGATTTTCTGCTATAGCAACATTCCTTGGGTGTTAAAGTTGCTTTGTTTTGAAAAGGCTGATGGTGGCTTAGCCACAGAAGAATGAACATGATGCTTTGGCTCCTTGCTAGGGAGGCGCCCGTGGGACGGTGTCACCTGTCACTGGGAGACAAAGAAAAGTCGTGCTCTGTCACTCTTTGGGTGGCAATTCTGTTGAAGTCACTAACCCTGCTTGCTCAAATTCTGCATCTGCGTCTGATGGGGTGCAGGCTCTTTTAGGGTTCTTTTCCAGATGTCTTTTGTGAACGCCACCCTCTGAGACAGAGATATGGGGTTTTAGCATACCTGCTTCAGTGACTTTTATGACTTCATCTTTCTGCTTGCTGCTTTTGAGAAAATGGGCTTCACACAATAGCGAGATTTATGACTCTCCCTAGCAGCTTTCACAGAAAGAGTTAGCAGAATGAATGAGGAAACGTCTTTTCTCTTCTTGCCCATATCAGAATTTCGGGGTGTGAAGACTGCATGCTGAGTCTTCTTGTTTATAAACCTACCTTCCATGAGCCTTCAGATAAAGGAGAACTAGTTTTATTTAAAGCAAGCTAATAGTGTTAATTATGAGAAATATGATAAAGTTTCTTTTTAAATCCTAGTGATTAGCAAAAGACCAATTCTGAAATTACAAAGAAAATTCTAGAATCTTCCTTGGTGACACTCAATTCATGTGTAATCCAAATACCCAAACATTTGGTATTGCATTCTACAATTATTTGTCAAATGCCTGCTACACATTAGGCATTGTGATAGGCAGTAGATACACAAGAACAAACCAGATAGGCATGGTTTCTCAAGGTGTTGATAAGCTACTGGGGAGGACAGACACCTAGATTCTATACAAGAAATTTGGTCTAATGAAGAGAGGGTCCTAACTCACTGGAGATCAGTGAGAGCGCTCAGGATGAAGTGATGTTCAGAGACTCCTGTACCTTGTCCTCTTTCTCCGTTGTGTTGGGCCCAAGCTTAAATAGTAACATCTGAAAGTTTAATTCTCTAACCCAGAAGATTCCATGATCATGAAGGTGATGATAAACCCTTTCAGCTCGGGACCATCCATCATATCATGACACTCAGAGGTGATGTCAAATCTTTGATATCAAATTCTCTTTGAAGTTCATTTTCTGTCATGACATGGTTGTTGCGTCTTGGTCTATCTTTCTATTTTATATATGAGAGAATTCAGTAATGGAGGAGTGTGTGTCTTTATTTATTTTTCTTTTCTGTAGCTTAGATCTTGGTTACAAAATAACTGTAATATAGCCTATTAACCACACTTTATTGTAGGATTTTAAGAGCTACAAGGAGGTATTCAATCCTCCCACATTTTTGCTCACTTATAGGAAGAAAGGATGGACACTTTCATTATTGCTGTTATCAGAAGAAAAAAATAAAAAATACTTACTTTTGTTCCTCATTCTTGAAGCCATTTAAGATTTTGAATACCTACGCACAGGGAAAAAACCTACCATGAATTAGAAGATAATAGCGAAGTATATTCCACATGCCATGTAACCAAACATTTGTATCAAATATCCATATGCCCTTGGGAAAGTTGCCTCCTCTTTTTGTACCTAATTTTGTAATTGTGAAATCAGGAAGATTCACTAGATAATCTCAAAATTTATTTCTACTTCTAAAATTTGAAGTCCATGCCTTAGACTTTAACACATCTCATGACATTAAGATATTCTAAGTCCTAGCCCAGAGGCACTTCCAAATGGCTTTTGATATATAACACCAGATAAGGCAACTGAATTTTAAAATATGACCTTAAGTAAAGTTGCAAAGAAAACCCTTAAACAGCTCCATCTCTGAGTTTCCATCCTCTCTTAGAAGACTGAGATGTCCTCCTATAACCCAGGGTGTGAAAATATTCCAGGGGATGCTTTGGGAGACAGGCAAGAGAAGGTAGAGAGGGAGAGATGAGGACTTGTCAAAGTAGACACCAATGAATGTGCAACCATTGACTGACTGAATGGGTCAGTTGACAAATGGATGAAGTTTTTATCTCTAATCTGGGAAGCGATTCAGTCACCAAAGTGGAATAAGGAAATCCTTCTCTACTAAGATGGAACAAGTGCTAAAAGTGGTATTCAAAGCACTGGTTTGAAATCCTGCCCCCTCCTGACATATATACACTTGCTATATAACCTTGGTGGGTTTAAGTAATTTATTTGACCTTCAGATGATGATGATAATGATGATGATGATTAGAGGTAGGGTCTTGCTATGTTGTCCAGGCTGGTTTTGAACGTCCAGCCTCAAGCAGTCCTCCTGACTCAGCCTCCTGAGTATCTGGGATTATAGGCCACTGTGTCCAGTCTTCAGATTATTAAATTGGTAGAGTTTTTTTGTGAGAATGCAATGAGATCATATATTTAAGAGTTATTGGCTCATAGTGCATGCTCAATGAACATGTTGAGTCTAATTAGAATAATGATTTTGCTATGGTCTGAAAATTTGTGTCCCCTCCAAATTCATATGTTGAAATCCTAAGCCCCAAGGTAAAAATGTTGGGACATAGGGCCTTTGGGAAGTTATTAAGTTGGGAGAGGACAGTACTCATGAAGAGGATTAGTGCCTTTGTTAAAGAGGCCCAAGGGAGCTCATTTGTCCCTTCGGCCAAATGAAAGTATAGCAAAAAGATGGCTGTCTATAAATCAGGAAGTGGCCCTCACCAAACACTGAATCTGTGGGTACCTTGATTTTGGACTTCTGGTCTCCAGAACTGTGGGAAGTAAATTTCTGTTGCTTATAAGCTGTGCAATTTAAGGTGGTTTATTATAGCAGCCCGAATGCAGGGAGATTTCTTCACTCAAACTCCCTGAGAAGCAGTGGAACAACTTGGTAGTAAAAGTAGCTAACAATGGGAGCAGCCAGTTCATGTTTATTCAAATGCACTGCACCCTCTCTCTCACCTCACACTACTTTCAAGTATTCCCATGTACACTCTGCCTTTCTTGAGATCAGATGCTGTCCCCTGTACTTGAGCACTCTTCCCTCACTTCTTTTACCTAGTGAGCTCTTATTTTTATTCGCCAGGCCTCAATTTACATATCTCCAGCTTTCTCTAAGATTCCCTCCCTGCCCTCCCCAACCAAGCCCAGGTTATCACCCGCAGTGTGATCTCCTGCACCCTCTACGTGCCCTCCTTAGAACTCTTAACCCGCCATGTTGCTACTGTCTGTCCCACATCTCTCTTCCCCACCAGACCTTAAGGAAAAGAAGGACCAAGCCTGGATGTTGCCACTGTTGAATCTCCAGTACTCATTCCGGTTTTAGAAGAGACCAGACCCTCAACACATACGTGCTGGTTGAGGAAAGAGAGTCCTTCTGAGTACCATAGGAAGAGAGTCTAGGGAGGTGAGTACAAAATGGCGGCCACACTTTCCTCACAAGGGGGAAGAGATTCCTTGGCCTGCTGACCTTTGTCCCCTCTCCAGCCACCCCTGAAGATTCCATTCCAAGTCCTGGCACCATCAGAGAGTGAACTCTTTGATGGAGGCTTCCCACTTGCAGCGGAGAAGGCCCTCCCCTCCACCCACAGAAGGCCTCCTTCTCCCAGCTCCCTGGGCCTCACTCCTTGTGTGGTGCCTCCCGTCCATTTTCAGTCTGGGGCTGCGTCTGCTCTTGGAGTCAGGAGGGGAATGTCTGCGCCTTCTGCGGAGACACAGCGAGGGAACATGACGTTTCCCTCTGGCCCCAACGCTGAGCGTCATTGGTGTTGGCCTGAGATCAAAGCCGCTGTTCCATTTTTAACCTCGGTAGGGCCCCACCTCACCCTGAGCATGTGTTCCTGACATTTCATTGTGAGCCAGGGGAATAAACAAAACCCACCCCCTGAGTCTAGCGAAGGACGCCTTCGGGGAGCTCTGAACTCGGCGAGGCAGATCAGTGCTTTTCCCACCGAGGGCCCCCCTTGTGCCCTGCGGTTTTTCCTGAGCTTACATGACACCACCGTAAGGGAGATGGATGGCTTTATTTTTGTGCAGAACAAATGTGCAGATGGTGACCCCCGACCAACAAAAAGAAAAAAACTTAGTGTGCAGAGGCAAGGGAGGAGGAGGCAAGGGGAGTCCATGTTGGCCTCTCCTCTCCCTACCTTTTCTCTTCTCCTGGGTCTCCCGAAAACGTCGCCAAAGTCTCCATCTGTGGTTGGTGGGGATATTGACAGGAGCCCATTTTATTTTCAAATTATCTGTTCTTTGTGGTAAAAATAAAAACATGCTTTTAGAATTTTCAAGCAATTTAAAAAAGATATAAGGACGAAAGATGATGTCTGGTACAAATTAGAACTCAATAAATGTTTGTGGAAGGAAGGAAAGAAAAAAAATCCCTCCAAACTCCACCACTATCAATATTTTGATGAGCATCCTTCTATATATTTATGTGTATTCCAACTACATAACAAACATGATCATACTATATTCATATATAACATATTCATACTGTCTATGCACAATGAATACAGTACAATTGCTACTATAGTTACTATTTACTGCTGTATTTACACAGAATGATGGCTATGTATATGAACATCATACGTTTATATTGTATACACACATATAGTATTTACTACATTACCCTGTACTATACTATACTGTACTATAACATATGCTACAATGTCTTTTTTTTTTTTTTTTTTTGAGATGGAACCTCACTCTGTCACCCAGGCTGGGGTGCAGTGGTGCAGTCTTGGCTCACTGCAACCTCTGCCTCCCAGGTTCAAGCAATTCTCCTGCCTCAGCCTTCTGAGTAGCTGGGATTGCAGGCATGCACCACCGTGCCTGGCTAATTTTTGTATTTTTAGTAGAGACAGCCAGGCTGCTCTTGAACTCCTGACCTCAGGTGATCCGCTCGCCATGGCCTCCCAAAGTGCTGGGATTACAGGCATGAGCCGCCACACCCCACCAGTATATGCTACTAGGCTTTTAAAAAGTGCCAGTAGCATGTTCCTATTGTACTCACATACACGATCATACTGTTTGAGGTGTTTCGCTATCGGCTTGTTTACCATGTCCTGGACATCTTTCCATGTCTATGAATTTTAAAACAAATTCATCCCATTTTAAGGCTGCCAAGTAGCTATTTGTGTGGCTGTGCTATCACTTAACCACTCCAAGACAGCCACTTATGAAACCCCCACCTTAAAGTAAACTCCATACTTTTAATTGTTTTTTCTCTTGTGACTCTGCCTCTCTGCTGTCTTGTAAGCCATATCCATTCGAGGTCAGAGTTTTCTACTTCCTCAACTGCAAAGTTGTCAGCATCAGAACAAGGGGCGCACATTTGCAGAAATCCTTTTGGATTTCTCTGTGGTGCTTTGGCTTGAAGAAAACAGTCCTCTCCTTTCTGCCTTCACCCACCTAATTTGTTTCCACATTTTTTTTTTTTTTTTTTTGTGGTGGCAATGACTGCATCAGGCTTTAAAAAGATGGTGTCTGGAGATTCATAGCTTTTCAAAAGCTCTTTGTTTTTTTCTGATGAACAGCCAGAACTAAGAAACAGGAAGGCATAGAAAGAACATGGCCTGTCGTGTTCAAAGGGGCCAAATTCTTGTTCGACCTTTGACCTCCCATGAAACAGTTTCCTCATCTGCAAAACTGGGGAGATTATAATGAAGCCGCCTTGCAGTGTTAGTATGAGGATTACAGTAAATGAGTGCCTGACACACAGAACTCCTCCGCCATGTCAGCTTCTCTTTCTGAGCGTGGAGTGGGGCAGGAGAGGAAAGGTTCTGAAATTAACTATATCTGGGTTTGAATCTGAGCTCAACCACTTTCTATTTTTTGTTATTTGTTTATTTTTAAAATTCTTTTAATTTTTTTGTTTTTATTTTTATTTTCTGAGACAGAGTCTTGCTCTGTCACCTGGGCCAGAGTGCAGTGGCACAATCCCGGCTCACGGCAGCCTCTATCTCCCGGCTCAAGCAATCCCCCCACTTTAGCATCCTGAGTAGCTGGTACTATAGGCATGCACCACCATGCCTGGCTAATTTTTTTTTTTTTTAATTTTTAGTAGAGACAGGGTCTCACTATGTTGCCCCAGTCAGGTCTCAAGCTCCTGGTCTCAATCTGTCCTCCCACCTTGGCCTCCCGAAGTGCTGAGATTACAGGCAAGAGCTATGGTGCCTGACCCTTTTAACATTCTTTTGTAGAGACAGAGGTCTCACTTGCTATGCTGCCTAGGCTGGTCTCAAACTCCTGGCCTCAAGCAGTCCTCCAGTTTTGGCCTCCCAAAGTGCTGGGACTACAGGCATGAGTCACCATATGTGGCCTTCAACTTCTCTCCAGATAAGTGACTTAACCCCTCTAAGTTTCTGTTTTCTTTCTGTAAATTGGAGCTAAAATATTCATGAGACAGCAGAGTCATAAGGCTTACAGATGATGTCTGCAAAGGGCCTGGATCAGGGCACTCAAGTGGGAGCTGCTCTTATGATGCATTAGATTCTGACTCTTACCTCCAAACTTCAGGAAAAGCTTGAACTATCTTTTATTTCACATCTGTGGTCACGTTTTAGATGCCTATTTACATGTAGAACATGTTGGGACAAAATTCAGAAACTTCATTATAATCCTGCCTTTCCTATTTACTTCCTGAAAGACCTTCAGCAAGGCACCCTGGTTCCTACTTTTCTTGTTTCCCTAAATTGTTGATGCTATTTGTAATAAAAACACCACTGACTATATCCTTGGTACTTAACAGCTTACAAAGCATCTTTCATTATCATTATTCTATATGAACTTTCCAGCTGCTGGGCCAAGGTTTACCAGTACACATTTAATACATCAATATTCTATCAACTTCAGAGCCCCTTTAAAATATGTTTATTTTTCTTTCTTATAAAGCAAGTTATGGGCAAAGGGGTGAGAGTGGGTGTTAATATTTCCTGGGTTCTTCAGAGTATTTCCTTGTTCACCCAACTAGCATTGTGTAATTGATAGACACATACTAGTTACTGTACTACAATCTGAGGATAAAATAAGATATTGTCATGACTTTCAAAAGTCTCCTTGGCTGGGCATAGTGGCTCACACCTGTAATCCCAGCACTTTGGGAGGCCAAGGCAGGAGGATTGCCTGAACCCAAGAGTTGGAGACCAGCTTGGGCCCCACCCAGTGAGGCCCCACCTCTACAAAAAAAAAAAAAAAAAAAAAAGCCAGGTGTGGTGGCACACGCCTGTAGTCCCAGCTAGTTGGGAGGCTGAGGTAGGAGGTTTGCTTGAGGCTGGGAGGTCAAGGCTGCAGTGAGCCATGATCGTGCCACCACACTTCAGCCCGGACAACCGAGCAAGAACCTGTCTAAAAAAAAAAAAATCTTTTTAAATGGGAAAGATGTACATGTACACTGGAGCATGGAAAATATTCTAATCAAGATGTGCAGGGTAAAGTTGAAATACTAATGAGCAGGTTATCTGGCCCTGGGGGTGGAGGCCAGTGTTAGAAAAGGTTTTAGGATAAGCAAAGTTTTGAGTTTATCTTCAATGGAAAGAGTTCATTTCATCCAAATGGGGCTGGCGGGGAGGAGAGGAAATGGGGGTCAGGAAGGGAGTTCGTGGAAGACAGTGCAGTGTGTCTAAAGGCTTGGAGGCAGGCCCCGCTATGGTGTTTTCAGGGGACTCCAAGAAGTCTATGGAGTGGTGTGTGGGGGCGAGCAGGAGATGAAACCAAAACCGTCAGCCATGGCCAGAGCTTGGAGAACCTCGTATTCCCTGTTGAAGAATCTGGGCTCTTCTGAGAGCCATGGTGGGTTTTACATGGGGGAATAGGATGGCCCAAGTTGTGTTTCTGGATGGCTGGATTTAAGATGGTGACCCAGAGGCAGGATTTGGGCTGAAGTGGTTTATTTGGGATGTGATCCCAGGAAGCAATGGGAGGGATGGGGAAGTGAGATAGGGAAGGAGAGAAAACCAATGAAGGCTGCACTGTAGTGAAAGCTGCACCACCAGGGCAAGGGAAGCCCTATTCCTCCCTGTTCACACACACAGGCACACATACACATACACATACCCTATTGGGTCTGTTTCTCTGGAGAACTCTGAAAAATACAAAAAGTCAATATTCTTTGTATGTAAGTCCTCTGAATACAGAAATGGCCACCTGACACAAGCCTAGACAATCAGAATCCTGCACTGGCTCCTCTGCCCTTTGCATCCTTTAATCTTTCCCACTGGTGCCATCAGAGCCCGCGCTGAGTCTGGCTTTAAAGAGGATTGAAGAATTGGGTTAGAACTCCATCTGATGCTGACCTGGCCTGACCTCCAAACACCGCTTCTCCCACTGCGCCCAAGATTAAGGAACTACCTCCGTGTTTGGGGACAGCTGTCCCACCTACCTGAACGCTCACTGTAGAGGGTTTAACTC